CAGTAAAATTCTTGTTTCTCTTGGAGATCTATAGGTAAACTGTCACAGTTGGCAACTGTGGCACAGTTATTTCTTTTTTGTGTGCTCAAGCCAAAGTTAATTTAAATATGATTAATAAGTGAAAAAAAAAGGTAAATAGTTAACGGACTGTACTTATATAGTGCTTTTCTATCTAACCAAGATACTCAAAGCACTTTGCAACACAATCTGTGCCCTCATTTACCCATTCATACAACAGTCTACTATTCAGTTCAATTTAGTTTATTTATATAGCGCCAAGTCACAACAGAAGTCATCTCAGGGCATTGAACAGAAATATTCATATAAAAATAATAATTTAAGACTTTATCTGAGGAGCAGATTGCATTGAATTTACAGTAACTCCATCACAGAACTCTCATCTTGAGCAAACATGAAGGCGACAGTGGAAAGAAAAATCTCCCTCGTGAGGAAGAAACATTTAGTAGAACCAGGCTCAGAACAAGCAGCCATCTGCTTCGACTGGCTGAGTTTGAGAGGAACGGATACACAATGGCAGGTCCAGAATCACATGTTAATATAGAAATGGTATCAAATGAAAACTATTCAATTTTAACGATTCATTTAAGGAAATTAGGTCAATTTGTCCTCCAACAGGCTAAGCTTATAGCAACATAACAAGCCAACCCTAACTATAGGATTTATCAAAAAGGAAAGTCTTCAGCCCAGTCTTAAAACTGGATAATGTGTCAGCCTCACAGACAGAAACTGGAAGTTGGTTCCACAAGAGAGGAGCCTGATAACTGAAAGATCTTCCTCCCGTTCTGCTTTTGGAAACTCTAGGGACCGCAAGATAACCTGCAGCCTGAGAGCGAAATGCTCTGTTATGAAAATATGGAACAATAAGATCTGTAATATAAGATGGAGCTAGGTTGTTGAGAGCTTTGTAGGTTAGAAGTAAGATTTTGAATTCTATTCTGGATTTGACAGGGAGCCAAAGGAGTGAAGCTAAAACTGGAGAGATATGATCTCTCCCATTAACTCCAGTTAAGATTCTGGCAGCAGCATTTTGGATCAACTGAAGACGTTTTAAAGAAGTATTTGGACACTCAGATAATAAACCATTGCAATAGTCCAGTCTAGACGTGACAAATACAAAGAATAATCAGAGCTTTATCACCTTCATACACCGATGGGACACACATCAGAGGCAATGAGGGGTTCAGTGTCTTGCCCAGGGACACTTCAACATATGACTGTTGGTGGAATTGAACCCCCAACTGTCCCACTGGAGGACAACTGCTCTAACCACTCAGCCACAGCTGCCCCATAGACAACACATTTTTGTTAGGTGATGGTGGTGTCCTAATCTTGATGTTCATTGCTCTGTAGGCTCCTTCCATCCTGTTTGTGCTGAATCTTTCCATGTAGTCTGGTAACATTTCTCTGTGTGTGTACAACAGCTGTGGTGACGTCACATTTTATAAAGGTGAGCGATGTAATGTGTGACTTTGGTCTTTTATTCAATAAAATCCTTTGAATCACACTTTGTGTAAGGAATAGATTATAACTGGTAGTTTGTCAATAGAGGATCTGTTCGCTTTTTTATTACTATCACCCATTTTAAATGTCCATAAAATCAACATGGGTTGTTTAGCTATGTTTGGAGTTTTTTTTTTTTCTTCCTACAGTGATGCACGGTAGAGACTCCTTCATAACACTGTTCTCATATAGCCTAAACATCTTCAGAGACTACATCGTTCTGTAGTGCATTCTGGCCTCATTCTGTCAGTCATGGGTTTCCCCCAGTGAATTACAGACAAAAGTGACTGGATGTTTAATGCTGCTCTTTGGATCTTTGGGAAGTGCTGAGCTGTAAAGTGGCAAACACCCTCTGGGTTCAGAGCTCATCCAACTTTGTCCATCCCTGATATATATTTTATGTCTGATTGATTTTTTTTTTAAACTAAAATAAATTCCTAAAAACACAGATGTAAAATGTATTTACTTCAAGCCCCTCATAGGAAGGTTGAGCAGCTTTGTTTGCCAGAAATTGTGTCAGTGTTGGCAGCTCCTGCTAGATTTACTAGCTTACTCAATAAAGTGGCTGTCAATGGCAGAGAGCTCCAGTGTTTTAAATTTTTCTTATTCCAAACTGGGCCATTTGTTTGTGGGTTGTGTATTTGCTGTTTGTGCTTGCTGGTCAGGAAGATGGACTTCTGTCTCCTGAAGCAGGCTGTCTGTTTGACTGTTGCTTTGGAAGTTAGATGATGATGTTCACATGTGAGTGACACAGTGCTGTTTTTGTCTGTGCACTGCTAAAAGCTGCTTTGTGCCTGAATGCTCCACGTGCACAGGGCCCTTTGTCATCCTTTGAAACAAGCAACTCGCTTGTGTCTGCACTGCTGTTTGCTGATGATCTGAAAACAAACAATGCTACATTTTCAGGCAGCACCCAGCTCATACCAGGCATCAGTAAAGACTTCATATTTTAGAGGGGTCTGGAAAAGATTCATACTATAGCAGCCCACACTGATGCCTTTTTGAAATGCCAACATTAAGCTCTGTTGCAGCCATGGATGGACACAGACGGTAACACACAGGCAGATGTGCTGTTGTCTGAACACAGAACAACATGTGAATGGACTACAGTGACCACAGCGCTAAATAATAAAGCATGACCATGACACACTTTTAAATGTAGATTCTATAAACTAGAGCCTTAAGAAATTAGTTATATGATGTAATAAGTTTATCTAAATTCTATTTTTTCATTATTGCCTGCAGCCCTAAAATATTCTGCAATTGCCTCTTGAGGGGTTTGTGTGTGTGTTTTCTGTCTCGTCAAAATATCTCATGAACTAAAGGACAGATTTTGATAAAATACATCTAGCACTGATTAACTTTTGGAGTCAAACAAATTCAATATGTTTGCTACAGCTATGTGACATTATAAACCACAAAAATGAATACTACAGTACTCTGTGAATTTGACAGATATTCAGTAAAGTTTCACTGTGAAAGTAGCTGACAATCATTTTCAACAGCGATCACTAACATATTGTGCAGGAACTCACAATTTTGTACAAGACTGTTTTTTTAATTTGATCAAAATTGCCCCCCAAAAATTGTTGTTTTAATATAGAAAGATGATCTTTGTTTAAAACTTTGAACTAGGTGACAGATATGCTTTCCACCAAGAAATACTACTTTTTATTTATTTTTCTGACTTCCATGTTTTTTAATGTAACCACATTTTAGCAAATCATTAATTAAAAAAAACATTCAGATTTCAACAAATAAGGACATGATTACTTTAATCTAGATCACATTCACACAGGTGACCTGTGCTGGTAAAATGAGTCTGCATGAGCGTAGACTGCAGTGCAGAAATGTGAAATATTACATTTTAGCTGTAATTGAGATTTGTGTAAAAAATGGTCTATAAATACACCCTCTAGCAATCCTGGCATCTAAAATAGCATTTACTGAGATTTTCTAACGGAAATGTCTTTAAAATTAATCATTTTAATTTAACTCAGAATTGATGTTGACATTGACCATTTTTCTCTGCTGGCTTTCGTAGCTCTGAGAAATCCCTTCATCATGTTGGTTTATTGTTAATTTTGTGCCTGGAAATCCTGATACAGTAGTCCCTCGCTACTTCGCAGTTCTTTTTTCAGGACTCGCTCTATCGCGCTTTTTCAAAGTAAGATTGGACATGACACATAATTGGTTGACTGATTAATGAGCTGCACAATCGGCATGGATTTTTTATTTAAAATAAATTATTTAAAATTATTTAGCACCTGTGTGCAGCCCACAGCTGTAGGAGAAACTTCCTCCTGCAGCTGATCAGCTGTTCTCCGTGCAGAGCGGAGAAGTGGGTGTGGCCGAGAATGCAGCCGGAGGCAGAGAGCTGAAATCATGACATTCTGTGCTCTTTTAGAGTGTTTAGAAACATTGTTTAGAATATTGCAAGAGTGTGGGAAGAGTTTAAAACACCTTAATATATAAATACTAAAATAAACTACTACTTACTACTTGTACTACTATTCCTACTTCACGGTTTTTCACTTATCAAGGGGGTTCAGGGTACGGATCCTCCGCAATAAATGGACTACTGTAACATCATTCTAGTAAGTAAGTAAGTAAAGTTTATTTATAGAGCGCTTATCACAGACATAAAATCACAAAGCGCTGTACAATAAAAATCAACGCTAAACTATACAAAGAATAAAACAAGCATAAGAACTTCAAGAAGCACAATAAAATCATGACATAAAAGCCTGGGAGAATAAAAGTGTTTTCAGTTGCTTTTTAAAAACCTCAACAGAGTCAGCAGAACAAAGTTGCAGGGGCAAACTGTTGCACATTCTAGACAAGGGGTATCCAATCCTGATTTCTTGAGGGCCACTATCCTGCATGTTTTACTTTTTTCTGTGCTCCAACACGTGTAATTCAATAGTTGAATTACCTTTTCATGTTTTACAGAAGCCTCTTAATCACCCATTGATTTTAATCAGGTGTGCTGGAACAGAGAAACATCTAAAACATGCAGGATAGTGGCCTTCAAGGACCATGACTGGACACACCTGATCTAGACCAATAAAAAAAACATGGTATTAAAGCTGAAACCTCATAAACAAAACTACTGGTAGCTTGTTTCTAGACCAGGTAATAAATTGTCAAATTTGAACAAACTTTAACTTTGAATCCTTTGAGATGGAGAATTCCAAAATATTAATAACTTGATGTAGAAAAATTCCTTTTGTCACTTCTTTTGCCAGCTCTAGTCATATTAAGAAATTCCAAAACAATTTGCATTTTTAATAGATGTTGTTGTCTAATTCTGCTATTTATTCTTCGCATTGGGAAATCATAGGGCCATAATTAACCTCCCAAGAACCATTGTTGGACAGCTCTAAGAACTGCTTTTTATATAAATTACTGAGTGTTTACCATTAAGTCAACTTAACATTGCTTCATTTGTCATCTTCTTTTTTTTTTTTATGCTGCAGGTGTGCAAGCAGCCAAAAAGTCTGGAATCCCAGCTCCAAGAGAAATTCCTTCAGCCATGACGAGAGATCGGGTTTCTCTTAGAGATCAACTGAGAAGCTCATCCACTAAAAGAATGGTTTCCAGTGCCAGCACCTCGAGCCTCTCCACTCTAGCAAAGCAGACACGTAATTCAACCAAGTCTCGTACAGATGCTGAGGGCCAGGAAAAAGGTCATTTGGAGAACCAGGTGAAAGAGCTGATGTCTGAGGCCAAAGCTAAAGACTTAGAGATCAATAATCTAAAGATGGAGCTTCAGCACTGCAAAAATAAAACCTACACAGCTTCTTCTTTACCCTCACCCATCTCATTTTCACACCCAGAGCATGCAGCTGATTGTGAGCAGGAACAGGTGGCTGAGGCCCTGGTACTGGTCGGAGAGCTTAGAGAGAAGAATGGGAAGTTTCAGAGAGAGTTGGCCAACCTGAGGGAAGAGAACCAGTCACTGAAAAAAAGGTTGCTCTGCTTGGATGCTTCTCCTCTTTCTGACAAAAACAAAAGCTCTTCTTCTATTACTCTTGTGAATGGTATGTCCTTAGACTGCTCACCCACCCAACAGAATGGTCTCCACTCCACTGCCAGCCCACTCAAACCCTCAGTTTCCTTCAGCTCTGACACCACAAAGGAGTCCCCATCTCCAGACTCCTCAGTGTTTGAGAAGATCTCGTCACGCTCAGAATCAAGAAGTAGCTGTGTTAGTGGGGAAGCTGTGGCAGCAGAAGTGAACAGTGCTTTGAGTCAGGATGTGTCAGTGCAAAGACTAACTGAGCAGATTCACAAGATGGAGGAGAACCATCACAGCACAGCAGAGGAACTGCAGGCAACACTGCAGGAGCTGGCTGACCAGCAGCAGGTGGTGCAAGAGCTAACGGCAGAAAACGAGCGTCTAGCTGAGGAAAAGCGCCTCCTGCAGACCTCACTTCAGCAGCAGAGAGAGCATCTGGAAGTGTTGGGTCAGAAGAATGAAACACTTGCTGTCAGACTTCAGGAGCAAAATCAGGCTCAGGCCCAGAGGCAGCAAGAACTAGGTAGCCAAGGGCCTCGCCTGGCAGAGCTGGAAGAGAAGTATGCAGAGTTGGTGGAGAGCTCGCGGTTTGAACGTGAAAAACTGGTGGACATCCAGCAGCAGTTGACAGGCAGCCTGCGGGCTCTAGAGGAAGAACACCAGGAGGCCCAGGGTCAGGTGCGCTGCCTCAAAGAGGAAATGGACAGATTGCAGGCCCAGCTGGACAAGGAGGTGGAAAGCAGAGGTCAGGCATTCCAAGCTGCAGAGGAGCATCGAACAGCAGCAGACTGTCTCAGACTGGAAACCAGTAGGCTGAAGGCACAGGTGGATATTGAGAAACAAAAAGTGGGCGAGCTGAAGGCCATGCAAAGTGCCAGTGACAACACAGAGCTGCAGAATTTGCTGAAGACTGCTCACGCTGAGAGGGACAAAATTGAGGTGAAGATGACAGAACTGAGACAGGAGGTTCTTCAGGCCCATGCAGAAACTGAGCATGTGCGAGCCACATTGTCCAAGGTATGTGGAAGCTGGTTTACATGTTATTTTATTGATTAAATTTGCTACATTCATCATACACATCACAGGAGTAACACCCCAGTTCCTGCCTCGGCTTAGGAATGTGGATAATCTGTTTTCCACATTTCTTGTACATATTGAGCATTTTAGTCAATTAAAAGTACCGTATTTTTTATTGTATAAGTCGCAGCTTTTTGCATATATTAGCATGCCATGCGACTTAATACAGCAAAGCTACTTATATGTTCCCCCCCCCCCATATTTATAACCCAATTTTTGGCTGAGATATGATGATTTCATTCATTCTGACATGGAAAATATTGAACACTACCATTTTCAGCCACTAGAGGGCCCTCAACTAATATGGAAAGCCAAGTGCACTTAGCTTGCCGTACAAGCCAGCTTCATCTTGCTCCAGAACTCCTGGGGCAAATGTCAAGTCATTTGCATTTCGCCTGGGTGGCGCAGCAAAATGTAGCTGATTTGACTGTCAAAGTGCATTTATTAAGGAAAAGTTCAACTGAGACACACCTTTACTATAATTTCGAGCAAACAAATAATTGTTTTTAAGTGTTAATCTTGTTAAAGTCCTCCCGTGCACACTCCCGCGGCCACCATTTGGCAGCCAATCGATTTTTGGCACAACACGGGCCCACGTTACCAGGTTGTCAGCGGTGATGCATAATAGATGCAAGTTATATGTTGAAGCGACATATTTGTTTTTTCCACTTTATTATACATATTCGGACTGATGTGACTTATACGGTGGTGCAACATGTACGGCGGCAAGTACGGTAGCTAGAGACACATTTCAGTACTTACCGTTCACTTAAACAGCTAACGTGAGCTTTTAGTCACTTTAGTTTTCCCCTAAAAACCGTAAACACTTAAGTTTGGCTTGTGCTGCTTAAATGTGAAGTGTGTCTCCATCGATTTAGGAAGTCATTCCAAATCATTGTTGGACGGGGACTTTAGTTGCCAACATCAGGGGCACAGAGTTTCACAAGTGCATGAACCTCTGAGTCATTCCTCTGTAACCCGCCAAATGGATATGAAAGTGAAGTGACTCTAAAATCACTGACAAACATGCTAATCTGTTCCAGTCACATGGCACCAGTTGAAGAGTGTAACTACATCATTTTCTTTTTTTAGTGTATTATCCTCACTGAGACCTGCCCTGTAGTGTGATTTCTCACATCAGCTGTAATTAATTGAGCACTGACTTCATCTTCAGTGGCTGGGGAAAACAAGAAAGTTACATGAGCTTTGTTTTCCTTTATTATTTTTTTTACTTTTATAACTCTTAACCTTAACTTGGATGAATGAAAGATACTAGACTTTTAAAGAGTTAACAAATACTACATCACAAAACTATAGAGTAACTTAAGGGTAAATTTATTTACAGTGATTGTCACCTGGTGGTCCTCACTTCATACCCAGCTGATGAGCTTTTTCTCTCTAGCCCCTTATACATTCAATTTGTCATCATTATCCGCAAACACATACAGAAGTGTGTTGTAGACCAGCTCAGAGAATTATAGCGATGGGAGGATATTAGCCAGTCAGAACATGAACTCTCACAGCACATGATCCAGCTTGACTTGGACTCCAAGATACGAGAGGACTTGCAGTTGAGTGCTTAAAGATGTTTAGGTTGGTGGCTTGGTAGGATTTGAGAAGCGGTAGAAAACTAAAGGTGCTACTGTTAAGTCCTTTGTAAAACAAATATTATTCCCTTCATTCTTTCCTACATTTGTTCTCATTCCCTTTTCCATCCTGTCGGTAACGCAAATCTGTAGCCTGTTTCTCAGCCATGTGAGAAGCACAGTTCACCCTGTACAGGTCGCCAGTCCATCACAGAGAATGCAGACAAACAAACATAGATGCTCACTTAAAAACCAGGGTACATTTTGAATCTCCAGTTACTCAACATGATTGTTTTAGAACTGAGGAAAAAACCAGAGTGACTAAATAAAACCCACACATGCAGAGGAAGAACATTCAAACTCCACATAGAAATCAACCCAATTGGGTTTAGACATATTCTTGCAAGCATCCATTAAATGACGTATCTTTAGTTGGAACCTCCAGAAAACGTTCACTTTTAGAGCAGATTCAGTCCAATTTTAGCCCAGACATCTATGAACAGTTTGGCTCTCGTTTACGTCTTTCTAATTTGAAAACACTTGCGACCTCCTGAGCTGTATTTATGTAAAGGTAAATTCCAAAATGGGTAAGTTGTTGCAAGAAAATAACAAATATTGTACAATATGTACAAGGTTGAGTTAATAAGTTTAAAAAGGTAACCTGATACTAAAAATGAACTCGTAATTATTAGCAGTGTATGAACTTCTGTAAATGTTAACTGATGAAATGGTTTTTTTCCATGTTTGGATCTTTTTTTAAGTACATTTAATGCAAAGTAAAACAAAGCCCATTCTTCAGCAATGCAAAGCATTTAATGCTTTTGTTGTTGGTTTTTGACTTCATTTTTGAGTCCTTTGTTTAACTTTTGTCAGCTGGCAGCAGTTCTTTCTTTTTCTAGTATCATCATAATCTTTGTGTTGCTCTAGTTATCTCTAAAACAAACACAAGGCACAAAACTACACAACAAACAATCATTATCTTCACACATGAACGTGTTATTATACCACTGATACACATTCTGGCTCCAAGCAGTTTTCTTTGGGTCAATGTGACAAAACCACTAATTATAATAATAATAATAATAATAATAATAATAATAATAATAATAATAATACCTTTTCAATTTTCTCTCTCTACTTTTTCATTCACATTGACATTGGCAAACTCAAAACTTCCATGCTAATTACCCTAATTACTGGTATTTTTATTTAACTTTATTTACATTATTTTATTTGGCATACGGTATGGTTTTTTTTTTTGTTGTTGTTTTTACCTTTTTAAAATTTTTTAACATTTTGTGTTCAGTGAGTCACAAATAAAAACTAACAACAAAAACGTATTCCAAAAAGTAGAAAACTGTGTAGCTCCAAAGGATCATGGCAAAGTTCATTCACGAACTGCAGAAGTTTCAAGAAATTCAAAAGACTGGTTTATCAAAATGTGACTAAACATAGACTGGACCCCAAAGTTTAGAAACAAATTTCCTTTTAGTAAATTTTATTGACCGTCTCGGTTAGCTCCTTCACAGTTACTATCACAAAAAACAAAATTTCTAAGTTTTACTGATATATTTCACAAGTTCAAACTTTCATGTACTTTTATTTTTCCATGCACAGCTGGAAGTCAAGTGCAAGCAAATCCAGGAGCAGGCTGAAAAGAGAGAGCTGGAGCTAAACGATGAAGTGAGTTCCCTGGAGGACGCCAGGATGCAGGCAGAGAACCAGATGAGGGAAATGAAGGAGACCATCTTTGAGCTGGAGGACCAGGTGGAGCAGCAGAGGGCTGTAAACTGCCACACCAACCAAGCTGTCCTGGACATGGAGAGTGAGTTGGGTGGTGTTTCAACAAAAACACATTCTTCTGGTATTTGATCCATCCTTATGAATGTGTGGTAGAAAGACTTCCAAAACTATCACACAGTGAAAAAAAACCCAATATGCCTCTTAAAAGTTCTAAAGTTACTGGCTAGATTTGTCTTTAAAATATAATGGAAGTCACTTGTCACTTATACAACATCCACAGGCCATTATTATTATTATTATTATACTTTTTATAATTACTAATTTTATCTTCATAAACTACTAAAACACATGTTGACCAACAGTGTGAACTTTGGATTGATGTTGCCAAAGGCTTCTTTGACCAGAGTTAGCTCTACTAAACCTGCACATGCACTGCATCCATCATTCAAGTCAACAGCAGTGGGAAGAAGTATGGAAAAAAACTTTGTTCTGAAAACAGGAATATAAATGGATTCATACAAATTTCAGTTCTGAAGACAGCCATTGTCCTCGTCGCTGTTTGTTTCAGCTTCTTTGATTCGAGCTCTTCCATCATGAGCCACACTTTCACTCAAACAGGCTGAATGTCTTACAACTTGAAACCTCCCTCTGTCTGACCTTCATTGTGTTCTTCAGTGGAAAACCCTGATAACGTTTGAATCGTCTTTCTGTTTATTCATTTCCTGCCGATCACTGAAACTTTCACCACGTAGAGTAATCTCATCAACTCGTAGATTACACTTTGTTTTCCCAACACAGTTTAAATCTTTATATTTTAGTGAAATCCTGCAGTATAAATCAGTGTATTTGTATTTATTATTATCGTACAGTTTGTTAGTGAACGTAATACACCGCTGACTGTTAACTTTAACAAACTAAACTATAGGTTTTACATCAGGACTGCTGGAATAGACTAAACTCAAATGTTTCTCATTGAGCCTTAAACTCAAAATGTATATTAAAACATTATGGATCATATCCAAACACATACTTTGATTTGTCTTCTGTGAAGTTGATCAGTTTGTAATGGCTGAAAACACTAAATGTTTGGACTGACTGTGGCAGATCACACTGGTCTGATTCACATAAGTTCTCAAATACCTGAACTTTGTGTTTGCAGATGTTGTGACAAAGCTGGAGGAGCAGAAAGCTGAAGTAGAGCGACAACTGAAAGCTCAGAGCAGACAGATGAAGGTAAGAAACTAGAAAATTATTTGTAAGGTTTCAAACATTAAGTCCTGGTAATTGTGTTTACTGTTTGAGCTCCACACAAAGGAACTATGAAAATGTCAAATTACACAAGCATCTACACACATTTGTCACATATCTCAACACTAATCACTGTGTGTAATTTTCAAGCAGAATGCTGTAACAAAGATTAAATTTGTAGTTAATATTATTAAACTAAATGCTGTGTTCTCTGGCATTTCAAAGAGAGTGATCCTCAGACCTGAATGTTTGACAATGGACAGTTTTTCCTTTTCTTAGGGTAACACATGTTTGCAATGATATTTATGCTACAATTAGATGTACAGTGGTGCTTGAAAGTTTGTGAACTCTTAATAATTTTCTATATTTCTACATAAATATGATTTAAAACATCATCAGATTTTCACACAAGTCCTAACAGTAGATAAAGAGAACCCAGTTCAACAAATGAGACAAAATATTATAGTTGTTCATTTATCAAAGGGTATGAATTATATCATGTGACCAGAAGCAACAAAAGGGGTGGTGGAGTGGCTTTTTGTTAAAAATGAAATAAAATGTAAATTAATTAATGAAACGTCAATAATTGCTGATAAAATCATGGAAATAATAACAATAGAAATAATAAACAAGAATGATATAAACATATTAATAAGTTGTGTATCGATCTCCAGGTTCGAATATAGAAATATTCACTGAAAAAATTGTACAACTATTGGACAAGAGTTTTAATAAAAGCATTTTTTTGTGTGGAGACTTTAGTATTGACCTGGGAAATAAAACCGATTCAAATAACATCGGTACATTTACAAATTCATTGTATAGTTTAAATCTTTATCCGTTAATATCAAAACCAACAAGAATTACAACTCATAGTGCTGCAATAATCGATAATATTTTCACAAATATAACAAATGGGGATGTGATAGGAGTTATTTTAACAAGTGATTTAAGTGATCATTTACCAGTTTTCACTAATTATAAAAATGATCAAAGCATTACAAAAAAAATTACAATTGAGAAAAAAACAATAAACACATCAAAAAAAGCATTGGACAAATAAAAAGATGATTTACATAAACAAAGCTGGAGAGACGTGTATGTTGATGATGTAAATAGATCATATGATGAGTTTATGAATATTTTAGGAGCTCTGTATGAAAAGAATTGTGTGTTGACCAACCTTGGATGACGAAAGGGTTGAGAAATGCTTGTAAAAAAAAGAATTATTTGTATACATGTTTCTTGAAATTGAGAACACAAGAGGCCGAAGAGAAATACTGTATAAGAAGTATAAAAATAAATTAGTAGGGATTATAAGGAAACACAAGAAGGAATATTATAGTGATTTATTTAATAAAACTAATGGTGATATGAAAGCTACATGGCAAGTAATAAATAGTGTTCTGAAAAGTCATAAAGCAAAAACAGGTATTTCACAATATTTTCTGAAGGATGACGATGAAATCCATGATGAAAATGAAATTGTAAATGGATTTAATCATTATTTTGTGAAAGTTGGATCAAGCCTTGCAGCTAAAATACCAAAAATTAGACAATAATGTGAACCATTCAGTTATAGGTTGTGACAACAGTATTTTTCTTAATGGAACTGGCAAAGAAGAAATAATGAATATAATAAAAAATCTTACAGATAAGAGATCAAAAGACTGGGTGGACATGTATATGATGTTTGTAAAGGACATTATGAGTTATGTTATTGAGCTGTTTACATATATATGTAATTTATCATTTTCAAAAGGAATATTTCCAGACAATATGAAAGTAGCTAAGGAAGTTCCTCTCTTTAAAAATGCTGATAAATGTCTGTTCAATAATTATAGACCAATATCCTTATTACCACAGTTCTCAAAAATTCTAGAAAAATTATTTGTGACCAGATTAGATAAATTTATTACTAAACAAAACATTCTAAGTAGCAGTCAGTATGGGTTTAGAGCAAAAAAACTCTACATCAATGACTCTCATGGAATTAATAGAACAAATAACTACTGCTGTCGATCAAAAACAATATTGTGTTAGTATTTTTGTTGATTTAAAAAAAGCATTCGATAATATTGACCACACTATTCTCCTTGAAAAATTAAATAAATATGGTATAAGAGGACCAGCATTACACTGGGTATCTAGCTATTTAAAAGATAGGAAACAGTTTGTACAAATAAATGGTGTAACATCTGACCTCTGCAATATGACGTCTGGAGTTCCTCAAGGCTCTGTACTTGGACCAAAGTTATTTATTTTACATGTGAATGACTTAGTGAATGTATCAGGACTCCTCAAATGTGTCCTTTTTGCAGATGACACCACATTTTTTTGTTTGGGTAAAAATGTAAAACGGATGTTGGAATTGATGAAGACAGAATTTGATAAAATACAAACTTAATAAACTTAATAAATTATCATTAAATTTAGATAAAACTAAATACATGATATTTAGTAAAATAAAGAGAACTTTTGATGATCCATTTAAAATTGAAGGTGTTGAGATTTGTAGAGTTAATGAGATTAAATTTTTCGGTGGAATCATTGATGAACAGCTAACATGGAAAAATCACATAAATTCTGTAAGAACAAAAATAGTTAAATCTATTGCAGTACTATACAAAGTCAGGGAATTACAAACCGGATTCCAAAAAAGTTGGGACACTAAACAAATTGTGAATAAAACTGAATGCAATGATGTGGAGATGGCAAATGTCAATATTTTATTCGTAATATAACATAGATGACAGATCAAAAGTTTAATCTGAGTAAATGTAACATTTTAAAGGAAAAATATGTTGATTCAAAAAATCACAGTGTCAACAAATCCCAAAAAAGTTGGGACAAGTAGCTATAAGTGGCTGGAAAAAGGAAATTGAGCATATAACGAAGAGCTGGAAGACCATTTAACACTAACTAGGTCAATTGACAACATGATTGGGTATAAAAAGAGCTGAGATGAGTCACGATTTGAAGTTCTTTTATGGAACACTGGGACGCCATGTCATCCGGACCAGAGAGGACAAGGATAGCCCAAGTTGTTATCAACGCTCCGTTCAGAAGCCTGCATCACTGATGGTATGGGGTTGCATGAGTGCTTGTGGCATGGGCAGCTTGCATGTCTGGAAAGGCACCATTAATGCAGAGAACTATGTTTAAGTTCTAGAACAACATATGCTCCCATCTAGACCCTGCATTTTTCAACACGGTAATGCCAGACCACATTCTGCAGCAATCACAACATCATGGCTACTTAGGAGAAGGATCCGGGTACTCAAATGGCCAGCCTGCAGTTCAGATCTTTCACCTATAGAGAACATTTGGCGCATCATAAAGAGGAAGGTGCGACAAAGAAGGCCCAAGACGATTGAACAGTTAGAGGCCTGTATTAGACATGAATGGGAGAGCATTCCTACAAACCGAATTCCAAAAAAGTTGGGACACTAAACAAATTGTGAATAAAAACTGAATGCAATGATGTGGAGATGGCAAATGTCAATATTTTATTTGTAATATAACAGATGACAGATCAAAAGTTTAATCTGAGTAAATGTAACATTTTAAAGGAAAAATATGTTGATTCAAAATTTCACATTGTCCTCAAATCCCAAAAAAGTTGGGACAAATAGCAATAAGTGGCTGGAAAAAGGAAATTGAGCATATAACGAACAGCTGGAAGACCAATTAACACTAATTAGGTCAATTGACAACATGATTGGGTATAAAAAGAGCTTCTCAGAGCGTCAGTGTCTCTCAGAAGCCAAGATGGTAAGAGGATCACCAATTCCACCATTGTTGCGCAGAAAGATAGTGCAGCAATACCAGAATGGTGTTACCCAGCGTAAAATAGCAAAGACTTTTAAGTTATCATCATCAACCGTGCATGACATAATCAAAAGATTCAGAGAATCTGGAACAATCGCTGTGCGTAAGGGTCAATGCCGTAAAACTCTACTGAATGCTTGTGATCGCCGGGCCCTTAAACGTCACTGCACCTCAAACAGGAATGCCACTGTCAAGGAAATAACAGAATGGGCTCAGGAATACTTCCAGAAAGCATTGTCAGTGAACATAATCCACCGTGCCATCCGCCATTGCCAGCTAAAACTCTACAGTGCAAAGAGGAAGCCATTTCTAAGCAAGCTCCACAAGCTCAGACATTTGCACTGGGCCAGGGGTCATTTAAAATGGAGTGTGGCAAAATGGAAGACTGTTCTGTGGTCAGATGAGTCACGATTTGAAGTTCTTTATGGAACACTGGGACGCCATGTCATCCAGACCAGAGAGGACAAGGACAGCTCAAGTTGTTATCAACGCTCCGTTCAGAAGCCTGCATCACTGATGGTATAGGGTTGCATGAGCGCTTGTGGCATGGGCAGCTTGCATGTCTGGACAGGCACCATTAATGCAGAGAACTATGTTCAGGTTCTAGAACAACATATGCTCCCATCTAGACGTCATCTCTTTCAGGGAAGACCCTGCATTTTTCAACACAATAATGCCAGACCACATTCTGCAGCAATCACAACATCATGGCTACGTAGGAGAAGGATCCGGGTACTGAAATGGCCAGCCTGCAGTCCAGATCTTTCACCTATAGAGAACATGTGGCACATCATAAACAGGAAGGTGCGACAAAGAAGGCCCAAGACGATTGAACAGTTAGAGGCCTGTATTAGACATGAATGGGAGAGCATTCCTATTTCTAAACTTGAGAAACTGGTCTCCTCTGTCCCCAGACGTCTGTTGAGTGTTGTAAGAAGAAGGGGGGATGCCACACAGTGGTAAAAATGGACTTGTCCCAACTTTTTGGGGATTTGTTGACGCCATGAAATTTGGAAACAACAGATTTTTCCCTTAAAATGATACATTCTCTCAGTTTAAACTTTTGATCTGTGATTTGTGTTCTATTCTGAATAAAATATTAGATGTTGGCACCTCCACATCATTGCATTCAGTTTTTATTCACAATTTGTTTA